ACGATTGCTCGCACCCGAGTAACTCCCTGTGTGGTACAGAATAAAAGAGATCCTCGACATCGACAGAGAAAAAATGTCCTGCAGAGCTACTGTCCTGAAGATACTCAATTATGTCACAGGAATTCTTGACAGCAAACGGGTCATCTAACAAAAGAGAGTTAAATTGTCGTTCACCCGCTAACGAGCCTTCTACACAAGAACAGCCTGTTTCAGTGGACCTTTCGAGTGTGATGCCACTTTTCACCAGCTGAAGTGTTTGTTCACTTCGCAGCCAGTACTTCGGCACTTCAATCCTTCATCGCCCACGGAAATTCACACATGCGCAAGTGGCATCAGTATCGGCGCCGTTCTCGTTCAGCGCTCTGGTAAGAAGGAACACGTCATGGTGTGCGCAAGTTGTTCTTTAAGGAAGCCTAAACGCGACTACACTGTGATCGAACAGGAATGCCTAGCGGTAGTCTTTGCCATGCAAGGGTTTCGCTCATACATCTATGGTTGCCCGTTTGCTATCGTCACAGATCACTATATCCTGTGATGGCTGGTCAACCTTCGTGACCCGTCCGGCCGCCTCACACGATGGACCATTCATTTACAAGAATATGTCTTCTCCATTTCATACAAGACTGACCTTGCACACGTTGATGCGGATTGCCTCTCCAGGATGCCGCTACCGACGACAGATTGTGAAGCCGATAACTTCGACCACCTTATCGCTTTTCTGTCGTCTGGCTTTCCTGATGCCGTGACTTTCGCGGCTGAGCAGTGTCTGGCTTTTACCCAAGCTTGAAAGCTCTCTTCCCTGGAGCAAAAAAGTCAATAAGTGAAGGCCTATTCTGCGTCCGAAATGGTCCTCTTTACCAGAGAAACTTGTTCACGATGTGCGCCCGCTTTCTGCTGGTTGTTCCTGTGTCCCTTCAATCGTCTTTTCTGCGTCTCGCGCATGACGACTTGACCTCTGGCAATCTAAGAACCGCACGAATAGTTAGTCCCATGAAATAGCGGTTTTATTGGCCGAAAATGAGCAAGACAATTCAAAATTATGTGGCCAGCTGTACGCAGTGTCAGGGTCTCAAGCGGCCCACCTCAGGTCCAGTCGGTCACCTGCAGCTTGTAAAGCCCCCCGGTGCCCCTTTTGAAAAGGTCAGCATTGATCTGATGGGACCATTTTCATGCTCCTCAAAAGAAAAGGTAATCGCTGGTATGTGCTGACTACCTGACGCGGTACTACAAGATGGCTGCCTTATTCTCCGCCACGGCAGTCCGGGTTTTGGAGTTCCTGTTGCATTCAGTCATCTTTCGACATGGGCCACTTCGCGTGATAATAAGTGGCCGTGGTCGACAATTTACTACTGATATTGTGGATTCATTACTTTGTTTGTGTGCCTCCAAGTTCTGACACTCAATTGGGCATCACCCACAAAGTAATGGCCTGACCGAGCGCACAAACTGAACGTTCACCAACATGTTGTCAATGTACGTTGCCTTCGACCGTAAGAACTGGGATGAAGTATTACCGTTCATCACGTACACCTTCAACACGGCGAAACATAAAACGACAGGCTACAGCCCTTTCTATCTGCTTTAAGCTCACTTACCTCGACATTCGCTGGACACTATCTTTCCTTTTGTCATCCATGACGATTTCACAATTGCGGAAACTTTGTATCATGCAGAAGAGGCACGTCGACTTGCATGCTTACGAACACTGGCAGCACAAGAGTCCTCCAAAACTCGCTACAGAATCAAAACCGGCATGTAACCTATGCCCCCGGTGATCTAGTGTGGGAGTGGACCCCAATACGCAGACGTGGCTTGAGCCAAAAGCTATCGGCACACTACACCGGTCCGTTCGTGATACTCAGATCGTCTCAGTGAGGTCAACTATGAAATTGCACGTGTCACCACTAGTGGCCAACGTTCATGCAAGACAGAGGTGATGCATGTTGCCCACTTGATGTCGTTTACATGAAGGATACAGGAATGACTCGCCTAGAGGGCTTCGTCTGAGAGTGAAGGAATGATACGAAGTGTCACTATCAGGAAAAACAAGGGAAGCGTGGGTAGAGAAGGAAGACGACGTTGCTTCTTTGGTAATCGCGGTCTCTCTCTCTCTCTCTGTGTGTGTGTGTGTGTGTGTGTGTGTGTGCGTGTGTGCGTGTGTGTGTGTGTGTGTGTGTGTGTGTGTGTGTGTGTGTGTGTTTTCATCAGCATTGAATATTTTTCTTAAAACAAAATTCAATTTTTTGGTTGGCACAGATCATGGCACAGAGATTTGTAAGACACAGATCACAGTTATCACAGCATGGGTCTTAGCATAGAAAGGAGTTAAACATCAGTGTTGAATACCGTATCAGTGAGAACGATATATGCAAACACAGAACTTGCACCTGTTGTGATTCTTGCAAATATATGTAGCGAAAGCATGTGAGAGAGGGTTCTGATCTCTCTCGTCAAGATTCCGGCCTATTAAAACACCAACCTCATAATCATGATAGCAGATTGACAACATACTCGCTTTGGTGACGCTGCAATTTTAAGCAAAAACACCTTCATGCAAGGATCAGTTTAGTATTCTCATATAATCTTGGGCTGGATTCTTTTGTAGTTTTCCAATCAGCACTGATTGCCTCTGAAATGTTTGCTTTTTAAAATGTGGACCATTTGATTTGTTATTTGAAATTTGCCAATATTCACACCAGTTTATGCGTGAAAATTTCTGTCTTCTCGGTAGCTTGTATGTTTTGCTTACCAGTTGTGCTCCTATTTTCGCCGCTTCAGCCGGAATTTCGATGATATTGCGCGGCCTCTCACCGAGCTTCTTAAAAAGACGTCCCATTTGCTTGGAATTCGCCTCAAAGTGCTGCATTTTCGGCGCTCATTGCAGCCCTCACGACTACGCCAATATTAGCCCACTTCGATCAGACTGCCCCGACAGAAGTTTGTACTGACGCGAGTGGCCACGGAATTGGTGCTGTTTTAGCTCAGCGCCAGCATGGACGTGACTGCGTCATCGCCTACGCCAGCCGACTTTTATCCCCTGCCGAGAGTAACTATTCCATCACCGAAAGAGAGTGTCTTGCTCTTGTTTGGGCTGTCGCTAAATTTCGCCCGTACCTGTTCGGTCGCAGTTTTACTGTTGTAACTGATCATCATGCACTCTGCTGGCTTTCCTCGCTCAAGGATACCACGAGACGTCTCGGTCGTTGGTCTCTCCGCCTCCAAGAATACACCTTCTCGGTCGTATATAAATCTGGTCGCCTCCATCAAGACGCCGACTGCCTGTCACGGTATCCAGTGGATCCGTCAGACGCCACAGAGAGAGCTTCTGAGGCTTGCATCTTATCAATATCAGACTTTCTTGATATTGCTTGTGAGCAACGCCGCGACCTGGATTTACTTCTTATCATAAAAAAGCCTGAGTTCCGCTACTCCACCCACTTCTCTGAACTTGTATTTCCTTCATGAAGGTGTTCTCTACCGCCACAACATGCGCCCTAATAGTCCTGACCGCCTTCTTGTCGTGCTTTCCCATTTGCATGTAGATGTTCTCCGACAGCTTCACGATGAACCTGGCGCTGGTCACCTGGGAGTCACCCGCACTTATGATCGCGTCCGGCGCCGTTTTTTCTGGCCACGCCTATATCGCTCTGTGCAAAAGTATGTCGCCAGCTGTGACCTTTGTCAACGTCGAAAACGACCAACATCGCTTCCACCGGGCCTTCTTCACCCTATTGAGATCCCTGCTGAACCATTCTACCGCGTAGGGCTCGACCTTCTCGGGCCGTTTCCCACTTCGGCATCCGGGAACAAATGGGTTGCCATGGCGACTGACTACGCGACACGTTACGCGATTATCCGCCCTCTTCCAACCAGCTGCGCTACCGATGTCACCAACTTTCTACTGCGTGACATCATATTGCATCACGGCGCTCCTCAACAGCTCGTTACTGACTAAGGCCGATACTTTTTATCTCGCGTCGTCCAGGATATCGTACGTTCCTGTTCCACAAACCACAAGTTCACAACGGCATACCATTCACAAACTAATGGACTTACAGAGCGCCTGAATCGCACTATCACTGACATGTTGTCAATGTATGTTTCTCCAGACCACTGTGACTGGGACGCAACGTTACCCTATGTAACCTTCGCTTACAACTCCTCCAGACATGACACCGCAGGCTATTCCCCGTTCTACCTTCTTTATGGACGTGAACCCTCTCTGCCTCTTGATACACTGCTTCCCGCTGGTTCAAGCTCCCCTGTCACATACGTCCGCGATGCCATAGAGCAAGCCGATGCAGCATAACAGATTGCCCGAGAAGGACTCATACTTTCTCAAGCCTCTCAGAAAGATCGATACGATCGTCACCACCGTGAAGTTTCGTATGCACCAGATTCTCTAGTACTCTTGTGGACCAATGTCGTTACATCGGCGTCTCAGAAAAGCTTTTATTTCGCTATGACGAACCATACAAAGTCCTACGCAAGATCACCAACCTCACCTACGAGATACAGCGAGTCGTCGATGAAGCGCACTCAATGCCACCACTATCTACTGTTGTGCACGTCATAAGACTGAAGCCTTATGTGTCACCCAACACTCCCCTTTCGTGACAAGCGACAGGTCGGCGCTTTAACGCCGCGGGGTAGTGCCACAAGGCAGCAGTGGGATTGGGGCATAAAGCGGTAGAGGGTCTCGGCCTGGAAGAAAAGACTACGAAGTGGATAGAGACTGGTCCCAGCCCGCCAGTGTGCCAGGCATTGTCGTCGCATGTAAACGTCGTAAATATCTGCAAATATATGTTTCCTCGTAAGATTATAATGCAAATTATTTTTATGAAATTAGTAGCTTAGGAGTACTTTGGTGTTTTATTTAAGCCATACTTTCTAGTCTTTGTGTTTGAGGGGCTGTTGAGCACATAAAAGCAGCATAGTTGCACGTATGTTTCGCTCTCAGTGTAAGAATGGGGCATACATTCGAAAATATTCCCTTACAGGCAACTTTAGAAGGGGACCAAGCTGAGGCGAATAAAAGTCCAGTTTCTTCTCTCTCAGTTTACACTCGGCCATTGAATGCGATGACTACGACAGGACTCGCCCAAGACCTTGTGGCTGTGGAGAAGATGACTGCTGGTGTGAGTTGAAAATAATGTTAATCTCATCACAACTAGCATCACATGTAAGTTTAGCAAACCATGTGACAAAAAGTACAGCTTGCTAAAGTTAAACAAGTGGTTCTGGCACCTGTCCATGCTGACGTTTAAGAAAATCACTGCTGGAGTGAGTTGACAACAAAATTTATCTTATGATAACTAGCATTATATGTAAGTTTAGGAAACGTTATGACAAAAAGTATAGCTTGTTAAAATGTAACGTCTGGTTCTGGCTCCTGTCAATACAGGCATTTAATTTGACCACAAGCTGCTTGAATATACATAAGGATGGGATATATGTTTTTTAAAATGATATTAATTATAATTGACTGGCATTTTACTTTAAATATGACCAAAAGCAGGTCAGCAGTCTGTGATCTTGTTGGGAGATATGTTTTCAGTGCTGTTGTCTGTACAAATAGTGCTTATGTTACGGTCCCAATTGGGGCACCTTGCACACAACATAAGACTGTAATGCAAAAACAAAGGGGAAAAACACAGAAAAGGGCATGCCAAGCAATGCTTTTTTCTTCAAATTATAAGTTGTCTTGACAAGATGATAAGTGTACGTATGAGTAGCACATTTTATGCCTTGTGGTGGTCTCCAATTGCAGGGCTTCGCCTGATTAACACATGTGCTACAGAGTACTGCCTTTAAATCGATTAATAGCATAGAATGACGGCAGAAGTCGTATTTATTCCTTTTACTGACAGCTTGTGCACAATGTGTTTATGAATGAATAAAGGGAAGCCATCTATTGTTAGGGTGTCAAATGATTTCAGTAGTGAACTTTTAGAGCATTGCTGGGCTTTGGTTTCACCAGAAAATACAAGGCAAGGCAAAGCAACTAGCATATGCACATTGCTAGTGGTGAGCAGCGCACTTCAAGGAGTTAATATACCAGATTGTTTCAGGCTACAAACATGAAGGTACAGTAGAGCAGAGGAGGGTCTTCTAAAGCATCTATACGCTTGAAATTGCTTAATCTGGATTTGGCTACTATTCGCTTGTCAAGTGTACGCAGGACAAAGCTGTTTCAGACCAAGTACTTGCTTAGCTCAGCCAGACTATAGGGCATGAGCAAAAGCTCTGCACAGTTGTACGTCACTGCTTCCGTTATGTGTTGCAGATACTGTGATCACCAAAGTACGCTGCCAGTGCCAGGTTCTACAGCACCATATGCTGTGGCCTCAGCATCCTAGAAGTGCTTGTCAAAATTGAATTTCGCACTTACAAGATTTTGGCAAAGGCATGAGAATTTAACATATGACAATTCGTTACTGGTATGGAGAATTTATAGGCAATGAACATAAAAAAACATCACCACAGAAATGTGTTATGCAGAATTGTACGAGTGAAATTTCATTGTGCTATTCTTACTAAATTCAGTACTTTTGTTGATTGTGGAAGGCCGATTTAGATTTCTAATTCAGTTTATACAAAGGATTTTTTTGGAACTAAATATTACAAAGTATAAATTAGTGGTTCCCTAATGCAGGAGAGCACCGTGATAGAGATGCTGCCTTCGGGTGACTTGATGACCTCAGAGCTCCAGGTGCAGGTTGATGAAAAAGGAGTTGAGTTTATTGTTGCCAATACTGCTGAGCTAAAGGAAATACCACGACCTGCTGTACAAGCTGTAGCAACAAGTGTCACCCGGGGCAAGCGGCGAAACCAGATGGCCTCGGAAACCGCTTCCCAGAAAGGGGTGAGTAACTACTGCACTTGTGACCATAGTTAACTGAATTGCCAGTTTGAATGCAACTGTAGCCTTTCTTTTTTGTGTGTGTGTGTGTGTTCGTTGTGTGTTTATATGCCTACGTGCACACACATGCACACATGTACTTACGTGTGGCAGTGCTCACTGAAGCTAGTCAGCCAATCAACAAACTTCATTGAAGTCCTATGGAACTACTAAATCGTAGTTGCGCGCTGCGTACCTGTTGGCACAAGAAGACCATGGTCCTATGCCCGTTCACGGGCCCTTTGGACCATCCTTAGTTGGTCCTAGGAATCACCACTTTTAAGGGCTTCCTCCCAATCCTCTTGTTTTTTGAAAGAGGTGTTTTGTAACACAGAACATTGGCAGAGCATGTGTTCTAGCAGGCAGTATTGTTCATTGCACTCAGTAAAGTGTGGGCTGATGTCCAGAGCAAAATGGTTAAACTTTCCTCTTGACTGGAAAGATCCCATTTGTTACATGTATAATCTGCTCAGATAATCCCCAGAGTCAAATCAGTCAGGATTCCAGGTCTGATACTGAATGCTATGGGACGCAACAATGAAACTGTTGCCCGTGTCAAGGCAAAGACTGAAAACATGCTCCATTTAATCACAAGAGTCTCACTGAATTGTTTCCAAACACACAGACTCCTGGTCCTGAAAAAATTTGTAGGGTATCTGTGGGTACTGCTGGAAGCATCTGAGGTGAGACAGATTTTGATTACCTGCACAGGGAACACCAGGTACTCTTATTGAAGAGTTGCGCAGAAAAATGAGCATGCCTTAATGTGTTGGTTTTAGGCTTCATACATGTTACCGTAATTACTCGAATCTAACGCGCACCTTTTTTCCGGTTAAGCGAGTTCATAAATCGCATGTGCGTTAGAATCGAGTACGAACAAAAAAAATACGGTACGTGCGTCGGCATTATATCGGCATGGCGCGTCGGCCATTTCTGCCTATGGGTTTCCCATGTGCGGCACTTCGTACGTGTGCTGAGGAGTTCGTCATCTAGTAGTGCATTAGCATCGACGGCGTGGAAGGGCAGACTCCAAAAACTCGAGTGCACCACGATGCCGCTTTTAAAAGAAAAGTCATCGCGTGTGCAGAAACAGACGGAAATCGGGCCGCATCGCGGTCGTTCGGAGTTCCCGAAACGTGCGTGCGGGACCGGCGGAAACAAAAGCAGAAGATTGTCGACAGCAAAGCTTCACGCAAAGGCTTCAGTGGACCACAGCAGGGTCGGTTTCTGCAAATTGAAGAGCTGCTCGCCGAGTATGTGCTTGAGCAGCGAGCGGCACAGCGGCCCGTGACGACAGAACTGCTTCAAGTGCGAGCTATGCAGTTAGCCTTAGAAAAAGGGCTAATGCGGAGCCAGTTTAAAGCGGGCAGGTGCTGGCTAACTAACTTTATGAAGAGGAAAGGCTTTTCCCTTCGAAGGCGAATGGGCATATGCGAAAAGTTTTTCGGAGGAGTACGATGAAAAGCTTCACAGTTTTCAGAGGTTCGTCCTAAACTTGCGGCGCAACAACGGCTACCTCCTTGGGCAAATCGGGAAGGCCGATCAGACGCCTCTTTACTTCGACATGCCTGGCACCACAACCGTCAAGAAGAAGGAGGCGAAGCAAGTTCGTGTGCTGACATCGGTCCACGGTAAAACTACAGTGACGGCAATGCTCTGTTACATGTCAAATGGGCACAAGCTTCGCCCGTACCTCATATTTAAATGGAAGACGCTCCCGAAAAGAGTAGTTTTTTCGAGTGGTGTGATCGTGCGGACCAGCGAGGAAAATGGATGCGCGTTGCAATCGATGTCTTACGTTTTTTTTTTTTTTTTTTTTTTTTTTTTCGCGGTGGAAATCGGGTGCGCGTTAGAATCGAGGGCGCGGTAGAATCGAGTAAATACGGTATTCTTTAACATTGCGGGCCACACTATGAAATCTTTGACAAAGTTTCAAAGACATAGTCGTCCAAAGCTTCTCTTAGGCAGTTGGAGTAAGAGAAGCTGGTCATTCATTGGCTCACAAAGATCCCACTCAAAGGCTTTAACAGTGCGGTGGTCTAGTGGCTAAGGTACTCGGCTGCTGACCCGCAGGGCGCGGGTTCGAATCCCGGCTGCGGTGGCTGCATTTCCGATGGACGGGGAAATGTTGTAGGCTCGTGTGCTCAGATTTGGGTGCACGTTAAAGAACCCCAGGTGGTCTAAATTTCCGGAGCCCTCCACTACGGCGTCTCTCATAATCATATAGTGGTTTTGGGACGTTAAACCCCACATATCAGTCAATCAAATCATCAATCAAAGGCTTTAACAGTGGCAGATATGCAAGAAAAAAAAATTGAAGGACACTTTGTAAATTCCAAAGTGTGTTCAGAAAAAGCCTGTGCCTGATGAAGAAGTGTTACTACGCATGTCGCGGGGCCATCACGGGATTGCTGAGAAAGTGTTACGGGAGAGGCCTCAGCTAGCACTGTTCCAGGGCACAGATGGAGGGTCGGGCATTGCAAGTATGAGCCATTAAAGGCTTTCTTCCTAAAAAAGTTTGAAAGTATTAATGTCCACCATACATGTACATGAAGGAGTAACTGTAAAAATCGAGCTGTACGTTTAGTTATTCACGTTGGGGGCAGCTGAGGATCCTGATGTTACATTATGAGGACTGCTTACTTTCCACCTTTACCCTCGGATAGCTGAGGATCAAAGGCACGCCATTATGAGAAGCATATTGTTTGCTCGCACTTTCATTTTTGCACCTATTGCAAAGGTTTTCCTTCTGATTCGGCCAGTAAGGTTGGGAAGGGGGGGAGCTTTGGTAAAACTTGGCTCCCCCTTCAGTGGAGAACCTTGCAAACACCTATGCACATTTAGAATTTGCGTTTTTCAGGGCTCCCTAATATGCCAAGTTTGCACATGTGACTAAATACTAAATTTAGCATTTATTTTATATGATGCTCGTTGAAGGTTTCAGACAGTAGTGTTTAGAACTTGTTGCTGGACTTGTTTGTACGTAACTTTGAGGCAAAATTTTATATGCCTGAGCCACGGCTGCTCGATCTCCCCCATTGGAGCAGCCCGTCGAAGGCTCCTCCCCGCCTGTGAGAGCGCTAGCACAGTGGCTAGAATAGGGAAGTGTGATGAACGCGCTGGCTAGCGCGTAGTGCGTTGGGAGGAAACCGCCAGGTGGCGCTGGCACACATTTGCACGTCACTCAAGGCGGCGATGCGCTGCGCAGAGACGGGAATCAACCACGCGTGCGGGCATTGTGGAACATTTAAAATATATTTTGTTGCTCGTGCATGGCCTCAAATGGCGACCGAGAAAATATGTTAATTAGCTTCTGGAATTACAGGATGCCTACACAGGTGTGCGATTGAACTAAAGCATCGACCGGGTGCCGGAAGTGAGCACGTGACGGCACTGAAACATTTTATCGATGTGAAGTGGTAGAAGAGTGAAACGATGAACTCCGTTATGAGCCGTTGCTTGCAACACCTTCCACGGCGAAGCATCATTTCCTCAAGCACTAATCTGTAAATAAAGACCCATCATTCATAACGTCAACCCCAGAGATGAGAATCACGAGCGGTATATGGATGAAAACCTCTTATTTTCTGCACACTGGTCATACAACGCATTTCCGAGTAGTGACTCACTATCTGTTCACAACAATGCATTCTTAATAATTGGTCACACACTTTTTTTTTTATCGCCAAGAAAAAATAGTTTTATAGTTCACAAGCGTCCCACAAAAAATTGTTTCCCTTGGGCTGCAAACCTAGGTGACGCGCCTGAGCTTCAGATACTTCCTCTTTTCACAGGAAGATGCTCGCTCATTGTGGAGTGCCTTTGTGTAAAAACGCAAATAGGTGAGCTGAAAAAAACTTGGTCATTTGATTGGTGAGGCTCGGACCATGTTTTGCGCAGCCTGTGCAAAACATGGTCCGAGCCTCAACAATGAAATATTTATTTATTTATTTATTTATTCAATACTGTGGGCCTTTTCAGGCCTATACAGGAGAGGGCGTACAGAGCAAACAATGCTTCATTTCGAAAGATGAAAAGGAAAGAAAAATAACGATATAACAGTATGAAGCAATAAATGAACAATGCACATGTGTTTCACCGAAAAAAACTACCCAGCATGATAACATCAACGGTAACACTGACACGCAGATGCAGGCGGCCAAGCACATGCAGCAATGTGGGAGCACATGCGCAATACACTGTTTTAACCTTTATTTCGGCGAAGACAGCACAGGATCTATTGCAATGCCTCCAAATGAATTTCCAACAGCGATGAAAATGACTCAGGTGATTGCGCGCTGACGTCATTTGGCAAGTCATTCCACATCTCTATAGCTGCGGGAAAAAAAGAATACCTCAACGTGTTACAACGTGACAGGAAAGGGCGCATGCATTTGTCATTGTTAGTTCTACTGGAGTGACGGTGCGGAACTTTAAGGTAATCATCCTTATTTAATTTACCAGGTTGTTTGAAAGAAGAAAAAGAAATTTCAGGCTGGCTAATTTTCGGCGGCTAGCAAGAGTTGCGACACGTGCTTGCAAACGCAGCTCGGAAACACTCTCCCGCCTGGCATACTTTGAAAAAATAAACCTAAGAGCCCGGTTTGAATCTTTTCCAATGTATCAATCATGTTCTTTTTGTGCGGGTTCCAAACTGTAGCTGCATATTCCAGGATGGGTCTAATGAGCGTCTTGTACGCTGTTAGTTTAACTTGAGGGGAAGTTCCAGTTAGTTTACGGCTTAAAAAACCTAGTTGTTTAAATGCACGTACAGAAATTTGATTAATGTGGACATCCCACTTTAACGATGATGTTATTGTGACCCCCAGGTACTTTACGGTATTTACGTGCTTGATGTCTGCCCCAGAGAAGTTGTACTGAAAGTGAAGTGGTGTCTTTCTATGGGAAATTGTAATGCACATGGTTTTGTCAGTATTAATTTGCATACCATGTTTTTCACACCA